CGGAAGCACCTCCCCACCGAGACAGCCAAAGCACCTCCCCACCGAGCCGGCGGAAGCACCTCCCCATCGAGACAGCCAAAGCACCTCCCCACCGAGCCGGCCGAAGCACCTACCCACCGAGTCGGCCGAAGCACCTCCCCACCACCTGCCCACCGAGCTGGCCGAAGCACCTCCCCACCACCTCCCCACCGAGCCAGCCGAAGCACCTCCTCACCACCTCCCCACCAAGCCGGCCGAAGCACCTCCCCACCTAGCTGGCTGAAGCACCTCCCCACCACCTGCCCTCCGAGCCAGACGAAGCACCTCCCCACCACCTCCCCACCGAGCCGACCGAAGCTCCTACCCACCACCTACCCACCGAGCCGGCCGAAGCACCTACCCACCACCTCCCCATTGAGCTGGCTGAAGCACCTCCCAACCGAGCCGGCTGAAGCACCTCCCCACCACCTCCCCACAGAGCCGGCCGAAGCACCTCCCCACCACCTCCCGACCGAGCCGGCCGAAGCACCTCCCGACCACCTCCCCACCGAGCCGACCGAAGAACCTACCCACCACCTACTCACCGACCCGGCCCAAGCACCTACCCACCGACCCGGCCCAAGCACCTACCCACCGACCCGGCCCAAGCACCTACCCACCGACCCAGCCCAAGCACCCACCCACCGACACGCCCCAAACACCCACCGACCGACACACCGCAAGCACCTACCCACCGACCCGGCCCAAGCACCTACCCACCAACCCACCCCAAGCACCAACCGACCCACCCCAGCACCGACCCACCCCAAGCACCCACCGACGCACCCCAAACACCCATCGACCGGCCGCAAGCGCCCCACGCACCCCACCTACTTTAGACGATTCGAGCACCCGACCTACTGTGCAAAGCAACGACAAAAGAAAGCAAAACTCAATAAAACAAAACGAAACACTCGCCCGAAACAAAAGAAACGCATCAGGCGCGCCGCGTCAGGCACGTCAGAATTTTACATCGGACGTCTCACGATTCGCGATGAAAACAATCGCGCGTCAGAATATTACATCGGACGTCTAACGCTATGCGATGCAAAAACACTAACATGGACCATCGCAGATGCGAGAGTCGGCCCCACGGCCTACTAACTTTTAGTAGGGTTATGAATAAACAAGTGCAAGCTTGCCAGACTGACATTCAATGAGCGCTTAAAAGCTGATCACTCCACCCTCCTTCCTTCGAAGGTATCCCAATGTCACAGCAGCACAGAAACAATACTGTACTGGGGAAAAGGTAGGACGCACAGTGCCCTTTGGAACACGTGCTTACAAGCAAAGAAACACAATCAAGATTGCCTTTATGCAAAACACCTTCAGCAGAGCCACTGATATACAGCCATAATATTGGAACAAAGACGATCCAGCCCTCTACCCAACAGCAGCACATCCTCCAGTGGCATAGCTTCACACCTTACCTCACAAGTGGTCTATTTTTTTTAAGAGCCCACCGGAGGCCTCTGACATCAGAAATTCGGCCAGCCATATTGTGTTCTCACGTGCTGTGTATTCGCTAAATACCATTCCACAAAACAGACAATGGTACCTGTTGCAGCTTTGCTTGCAAGAAAACAGGAGGGGCATACCAACGAAATTTGTTTCTTCTTTTTCTGCTTAGCTAGCCTTCCTGTTTAGTATTATCTTCAAGAAGCCATTACCTTCTCAGCATCGTTTTTGGTTCTCTACTCTGAGCAATGACCTGCACAATTGCAGGAACTCAGATCATTTCTGAGAAAATGATTTCCCGTTGATCTGTTTGCTCAGAATTCCGATTATGAGCATGTTCGCTGTGTTTTCTGAATATGTATGTGATCAACCGATCTTGTATGTACACCGTGTGCTCACTTGCTGAGTTTCAGAGTCTGTCTGAGAGTGATGGGTTGCGCATGTCTCTCAGTTCGGTGGACCAAAATGTTGTGATGAGTCTGGAAGGGGTCGGAAGCCGCCTTCCATTATAAGACTGTCTTGTATTATGTGAATGGCAGTTGTTGTTCGCTACAGAACATTCAAGCATACGTCCAAAGTAGGACTCCAGCTCTCTCTCTCTCTCTCTCTCTCTCTCTCTCTCTCACACACACACACACACACACACACACACACACACACACACACACACACACCAACACATCCAGAAATGGGAGGGAAGCAGCAAGGTCCAATGGAATGGAGGCGGAGGGGGGAAGGTGGAGGAGAGGGGGGGGAAGGGCGTAGAAGCAAAGTCCGGTTGGCGGAGTCAAGAGGGGTGAGCAGAGTCGGAATGGAGGCAGAGGCCTGAGGGGTGTAGTCCACCTCCATCTCGGAACGAGATGGAGGCGGAATGCACAGAGGGAATGGAGGCGGAGAAGAGGKGGGGKGGCGTAGTAGGGGRGGAAACGGGGGGGGGGGGGRGRGSGGRGGGRSGGGGATAGCGAAGTAGGGTGACTGAGGAGGAGCAGACGGGTAGCGGAGGCGGAGGGAGGGCGTAGCGGGAGGTTCACCCCAAACCACGCCCATGCATCTTCCTCCTCTCTCTCCCCTCTCTCTCTCTCTCTCTCTCTCTCCCCCTACATTCCTCCGCCCTCCCTCCAAACTCCTCTTGACCCTCTCGACCTCGTGACCTGCATTTTTCTAACAATGGCAGCCGCGCCATTTTCTTCGCCATTATCTTTTTCAAAGGCGGCAAAGATTCTCATTGCTCGAGATGCAAATGATTGATGAATGGTGGCAGCGGCGATTTCTTTTTCAATGGCAGCAAAGATTCTCATTACCTGAGGTGCGAACGATTGATGAATGGCAGGAGCAAAGCACAAACTCTCTCTCTCTCTCTCTCTCTCTCTCTCTCTCTCTCTCTCTCTCTCTCTCTCTCTCTCTCTCTCTCTCTCTCTCTCTCTCTCTCTCTC